CGGTGCTCTTGAGTGGACATTTGTCCTCATCACAAAACAACCCCATAATTCAGCACGATGTAACGAAATTGGAGAGCTCAAATTGAGGAGGTTTAGAACCAAGAGCATCAGGGAGTGATAAATCAGGCTGGAGGTGCAGGGCAATGCCTCTTGGGGTGACTTTCACAGTGTCTGTGAGACAATGCCATCCCCTTTACAAATCATTTTGCCAGACAGACATCCTAACTCCACATGCTTGAAGGGACAGATCAAGCTAGAAATAGTACTACGAGGGAGCTTGATCTGGTCAAAGTCACTATTCCATTCTTCTGCTATTAAAAGTTATGAGAACTGTAATTTCATATTTCATTAAAGATTTTACCATTCCTCTGCTAATTTTCTGGGATATTTTTCAGAGTCATAAGCAATGAGCAGTTTGTGATGCACACTTGCACAAATAACAGTCCCTAAAGGGAATGTCTAAATATGGCTAACTGCTGTAAGTACACTTAATTGAATTATATTTGCATAATTGTCCAGGTTAGACACCCCTTTTTCAATTCTTAGTACAAATTCAGGCCCACACTAGTGCATATAGTTAGCTTTAGGAGCTAACCATAAACTTTGTATGATTTATATGAAATACATGGACAGTTTTCAGTTCAATACTCATCATTATTTCAGTGTCACCATCTGAGGTGGCTGCAGTGGTTACCTTTGGTTACTCTTTCTACAAGAAGACCCACTCACAGCTATTTTGCTTATCACAAATTTCACACCTAGGCCATCAAGATAAATGTTCAACATCAGAGAAGAATTTGACACAGTTGTGAAGTCTAAGTCTTCACTATGAGACTAAGATTTGCTTTCTGCATGGTTTTTTTTGGGGTTTTTTTTTTTTTTTTTTTTGGGGGTTTTTTTTTTGTTTTTTTTTTTGTTTTTTTTTTTTTTTTTTTCCTATCTGTCATGACTGAGAGAGGGTTCAAATATCTAAGCTTACAAATAAGAGACATCCAGAAACTATATATATCATAGTGTACATATATTGCCTATATATTTATATATATATTATATATTTAGTGGACAAAATAAAGATAGTTAGTTCTCTTCATTCTAGCTATGCATTCTTACATCTCAGTCTCAAAACAGACATTTTTTGGGTCTGTAAAGAAACTATTTTCAATCATTTGTAGAGATATCAGATTGCTAACACAGTTATGAACTGCCAGTCTGAGGGAACACAGGAGAATACTGCACAAGAGTTCTAAGGCTGGCATGCAAAAGCCAAAAACCTTAAATTCTGCAGTATTCCACCATGACTTACAGCCTTCCCCAGATCACTTCTCAACTAGAGGCAACATGTGATCTGCCACAGCTGTGAAGAAGGGTAATTAACTGCCATATATTATGTATTTGTGAGAGACACCAAGGATACTTTTGCAAATTGTTATTACTTTATTTTATTTATTAGCTGGCTTTAATTATATTCCTGTAGGAACCTGAATTATGGTTCAATTGCAACACGGTCTGATGGTGGAATAAGTTATAGCTGCTACCTTCATGGGACTGTAGGCAACACAGCAAAATAAAGTGATCTGTTTCCTTCTTCAAATCTTCCAGACACGATTAGCTGAGAGAATACTCAAACACAGAAAAGTCTTCAGACACGGAGCTGCTGGTTTTTTTAATTCTCTTAGCTAGGTCTGACAGCTAAATACAATCTTCTGTGATGGAATCAAAATGATTAATTAGGTAAAGGAGCTGCACCTAGCCCCTTGTGCAGTTATGACTTATGTTATCCTCACTGACTCTAACCTCCATCAGCTCTGCTCAATTAACTGAGGTTAAGCATTATAGATTATTGAGGAATTGGGTCATGGTAAATAAGAATTACTTTCCCAATTTAGAAGTAACGGATGGTGAGGTGTTTCAGAGACAAGGCTCAATGCCTAGCATTTGCAGAGCTATCCTCTGCTGTTGATATTGAGTGGAAAAATCTTTATGGATGGGGTTTATCCCTCATGAATTTAGACATCAAAATGTTAGCTGGGAGACTGGGCTGTTTTTTGTGGAGGGAAATACAATCACTGGAAGGAGACACCCAGTTCAGGAGGGATTCACCATATGCTAACTATCCATGCCATATGGGAAAAATCACCAACATCTCTCTCTGTATTAACCAAAGACAGGATCTGAATGATTGGATGTCATCCTCAAGTTCTACGTGATCAAAGTGGAATGAGATAAATACAGAATTTTCTGCCTAAGATGTATTCAATGCCTGAAATTACTCATAGAAAATGTAACAGAATATCCTTAGAGGGTATGAGGCCTCATTCTGCCTGAAGAGACTAACCTGGTATCAAATACCTTTCAAAATGAGCATTTCAGGGCTGGTCATGAAGACATGCAGAACCTGGAGTTCTCATGGGCTTGCTAGATCAGAAAATATGATGATGCAACCTGTGTCTGTGCCACTAAATAATATTTGAATATATCCCAGTAGACACCTGAGCACGTCCTTACTGCCAAAATGTTAGAATGATGCTTATCTTGGTTTCAGATCAGAAGAGCAGCACTTTTTTGACCCCTTGATCAGTTTGGTGCAGAACCTGGCACAGTCCAGGAGTCCCTTCCAAGAGCAGGTTGTTTGTGGTAACCCTGCTGTGAAGGCTAAAAAGTTTAGCAATATGGGAAGATGTTGCTCTGTACCAGATGACCTTAATGCCAGTGAACGGCTATATTTAATCAAGTTAATCCATTTAAGACTTAATTGTAGACTGTATCTATGTTGTTTTCTGCAACCTTTCTTTGTCTTGCAAACTAACTTTAACCAAGGTACCCCTAAAAATATGGAGCCAAGTTCGTGTTGATATTATATGTCCCTTAGTGGAGGAGGGAGGGTTGAAAGGACATAACCAACACTAAATGATTTTCAATTGACTCAAAACTCAGGCATCTGCCTGAAAAGAACAAAGAACATCCCTCAAGGTTTCTCAGGGTGGCAATTTCTATGCTCTCTTACACAGGGAATGACTGCTTCGTTCCCCCCTATGCAGTGTGCAGGATTGGAACAGACACAGATGTTTCCCCTTGTTATTTATTGTCTCAGAGCTGCCATCTGTCCAGTGCATCCTCTTGTTGTCCCTCCACTAATACTTAGCTCATAAACTCTTTGGACAAATGCATCTTTTTGATATGCATATTTCTCTAGGACACTTGACCTAAAATCTCTGTGGCAATACAGATAAAATAATAATAGTAATTACAATGGTGTTAATGCAGACTTCAGCTTTCAGAGACAGCAAGCAGAAAATTCACCTTGAATGGGTACATGTATTTGTATTCCTCCAAAATAATATTTCTCAAGTAGAAATATAGCCACATATATCTAAAAATGTACAGCAAACCATTACTTTTGATGAAGGATTTTTGACAAGTCACAAAATATCTCCAAATTCCCTTGAAAGGAAGGGAGAGTGGGGAACAAAGCATTCGATTTTAATGAACTAAAGTTATTCACAATACTATAACCTCTCCAAATTTTACAGAGGAAAAAAAATCTAGTCTCACCCAGATTATGCAAAATATAATTGGTTGAAGCCCTGCAAAATAATCACAGGAGAAAAGTGAAAAAGGAATATTTAATAACAAAGATACATATTTTTTGTTATATCAATGATCACTCCAGGACAGACACAAATGACACTGACTACTAGTATGTCTCCATGGAAATCACAATCTTTATTTTTGACAAAACTTATGCATATTCTATCTATAAAATTTATAAATAGCAACAACATTAAGGAACTCCAGGGGGGAAAAATGTTTAGGAGCATATACTCTACTTCATGCCAGCTTTAAAAAGGAATAATAAAAAAGACTTATCCAACTGCTTAATCAAGTGGTTCAGTTGGATGGTCAAGGACTGTGAGCAATGGTGATTGAGCTGCTGCAATTCTCTAGTAAGTCATGGGCTGGATGCTACATCACAGGTGCTATTACATGCTGGGACAGAGCTGCACAGCTCCAGGGAGGGCTCTGGGACTCATTGGACAGAGCAATTGTGAGCTCCTTGATGGGGCAGGGGAGTGTGGCTGACAGTGAAGCACTGGCACAGGATGCCCAGATTGGTGGTGGATGCCCCATCCCTGGAAACATCCAAGGTCAGGCTGAACAGGACTCTGAGAAACCTGATCAAGCTGAAGGTCTCCCTGTCCATTGCACGGGTTTGGCCCAGGTGGCCTTTAAAGGTTCCTTTCCAACACAAACTCTTGTGTCACTTTAATGCAAAGCATGTCTGGAGAATATGGCACCTCTGCCAGCCAGCCCCAGCAGGTGCAGCTCGGAGGAGGGAGAGCAGTACCCCTGCAGCCTCTGCAGGGCTGGTGCGTGACTTGTACTCTGCTTGCAACACCTGCCTGCTGTCTGGGCAGGACACAATGGGGATGGGGCAGCATGGGGTCAGAATTGTGAGTCCCCAGGCTCCCTTTGGGCCTGGCTCACAGACACGTTCACACACAGACACGGGCGTGCAGGCCGAGCACACGCTAACCCTAAACCTACATGTGAATGCAAAGCTGAAGGTCACATCCCAAAAGTCCTTAAAGAGTCAAAATGTCCATTGAAATAAGTGTCATTCATTCCTGGGATGGTGCATGCAGAGGAGGAGGCAATAAGTGTATCCATTGTCCTAGAGCTGGTGGAAGCTGGTTCTGCCTTGGATGCTGGCGTAACTCATAGCATTTGAAGACCAGCCATGGGGCATACGTTAAAAAACACAGTATTTTCTCCACTCAGAGTTGCAGAAAAGATATGAGAGGGTATGCTAAATGACACTATAGAACAGAAGAGTCACAAGGAAACCATTAATTGGGCCCTCAAAGAACAACTTCTGCATGAGAGCTGAAGGGAAGGAACTCCAGGACCTGGCCTGGAAGATTCTGTGTCAATGCTGCCTTTTTGAATTATTACAGGTTACTGTGCTCAGCTCCTAATGAGTGGCTCATAGAGAATTGTCATCAGGTTGTACTTTCCTTTTTTTTCTTCAGGGATCCCTTCAGTTTCCGCCACAGACTGTCCTTCCTCTTCATCTTCTTCTCTATCATGGACAGTGAGGACTCTTTCCTTCGAATTTCCCTCACTAGTCCGTGAAAGACATCATCAATGTAGAAACGGAGCGCAGCTGAAGTCTCAAAAAAGGAGCAGGAATATTCTCTGGCTAAGCTCATTCCTTCTTCAGTTGAGACCTACAAAGAAAAGAAAATTCCATAAATATTGCCTAATGCACAAAACATTAATCAACATGACAACATTACAATATATATATAGTCTGACGTCTTAGGCCCTGCAAATCACTGACCAGGAAAATAATCTGACAGTGTCCAACAGACAAGGATTCAAGGGTGAAAGGATCAGGCTGAATTCATGAGGTATTTGAACAGAGCAGACTGGCAGTATCCATTAGCTCAGGTATATTATGTCCCTAATTCTGATGCATCAATTTTTCCATGTATTTCCTCTCTTTAGTACAGTAATCCTTGGTTTGACAGTGCTGGTACTTTTATTCTATAGGCTGGAATGGATGACTAGAGAGACTTACACAGAATTAAGGCCCTAGATAATCCTTGTAGAGCATTAACCTAATCCTGGAGGAAACTTGACTCCTTAAGCACACCAGCTTTCATACCCTAATATTTTTCAGTCACATTAATTTCTGAACATGCCTTAGAGTGGTTTGGTCTTTGCAGGCCTGTAATCCTATCACTGAGCTCATACCTGAGCTGTATGAAGATCCAAAATCTATTTGTTTTTCAGCTCATCTTCCCTAAGTGGCTTTGTGTACTTACTGCTTCTGTAGAATGTGTGAGAAATGTGTCTGTATTTTAAGGAACTGACGAGCCTAGAGGAAAACAACACAGCTCTTTTCACTGACTTCTGAAGCAGGGCTCATTTTTTCTGAAATCTTCATATTGGCTATCTCTTGGCATTTGACCTGCCAGCCTGCTTAATGGAAGGGTGCTCAGCATGCTGATTAATGTGTGCATCAAACAGAGCTTAAATGCTTATTGTAAAGGCTGCCACTGCCTGCCAATTAAGGTACCTTTTACACTTTGAGAGTTCATCCGATAACAGGCAGGAGAGCCACAGAAAAACAGAGAACAAACCCTGTGAAATTCTAAATGTTAACCCAGCTTCCTACCCAATAGACTGTCCTTTCTTTTCAGTATTTGGACATAAATCTTAATAAATGAATTATATGAACTGCATGTATGGTGTATATTCAAATTCTAGGTCAGATATCCCAGGCTTTGTTTTTATTTATATTTGCATATCATGATTTATTCCAGTCACTTTCCAAACATCTTTATGAAAAGTCAAAGCAATACTTTGAGATGGCTTTGTGAAACGCTACCTAATAAGCTATGGAAAGTCTCAATTGCTACTGTCTACCCCAAGACTTATCTTGGTGTTTTGTTTTAGTTGGGTTTGTTGTTTTGGTTTTTTTCTGATTTCTAGCTTCATGTACCCAACATGCCATTTATCTTTATAGGGAAATAAAGCCCTGTGACTCAAGACACAAGCACACTCTCTTATACCAACCATGAAGAAAATGCCCTTTATGATTAAATTATGACACCACCTCATTGCATTTATTCCACTTATCTGTAAGGCTGGATATGGTAAGAAACAGGATTTGGGATGAAAAAGAAAATTAGTTCATTCCAGCCTGTAAGTAAATCTGCACCAAGCATGTGCCTGCATAGCACAGACTTCAGAATTTCTCACCACCTCCTTTTCATTGCGTCACAAACTTTGTAGCATTTACAAGGATCAGGCCTCTATGCTCCAGGTACAGTCTTAATTTAATTAAGAATTTTGTGAGGGTAAGCAGAGAGGTTGTAGGCCAACCTGAATAATACTTCCTGACAAAATAAAAGATGGTTACCACTTTCCAAGTGCTATAATTGCCAAGCTTTTGCAAAAAGAGATGGGTAGCAATATGGTCCTTGTTTTTCTCTGGGCAGCTGTGTAAGCAAAATGCATGATTCACTATGTCTATTGGGCACCATTGAGAAATTGATTGTCTGGATAGAAAACTATTTTCGTTTATTTTGGACCGTATAATGAAGTCTTTTTTTCCCTTGCAATGCCTTATTTGAGATGAAGGAGGAATTTTTTTTTTATTTTGTTAAAGATGCTGCAGTTCTAAGCAAATGATTGCACAGAGATGCATTTCAATGAAGATTTCATACCTTCATTACCTAAAAGGAAGAAAAAATCAACATGAACCAAAATATCCTTATGTAAAATAATGGCAAGGTCATAAATATAATTAGTGTGTCAGCACAATAATACTCAAATATAAAAATTGCCCATTCTTTATCTTTGTGAATTCCTAGTCTTTACTCCACTTTGCTCCTCCTTTTGACTTTTTCTTTCTTTTTTTTTTTTTTTTTCTTTTCTAGGACTAAAAATATGTGTTCTCTATCCTACAAGGAAGCATAACTGCAGGGAAGACATGCTATGCTCTCAAATGAATCAAGACTGCTAAGAGCTGTGAGAAATGGATAATACTCAGGAGAATTAATAATGCAGAAAAACTTTAACTTTCTCCCCATATCTTTTTGACTGGCGGTTAGCAACTTGGCCAAATTTGGCTGCGTTCCTTTAAAAAGCAAGAAAAGTTTGGTTTTGGACTCCAGTTTCCTGAAAAATTACAGAGACAACATTAAAGTTATTAATGGTGATAGTTCATTTCAAAGCACGGCATTTTTCTTAAATCTTGCCCTCAGGAACTGATTAACTGCTTTGGCAAAATTTTAAGAGCTAATTCAGCAGGAGGAGGACACCTGGCACAAACAATTTCAGGACGATTAACTGATGTTTTTCAGCTTCAAGGCTGAAAACATATTTTTTTAAAATATAACATTGTAATAATTATCATTACTGCTTCCAGCACCAATGAATATAGCTATAGTAATTTAACTAATCTATTTGCTGAAGAATCTGTAAATATAAAGAGGTGTCTAGTGAAACAATACATATTTTTCTCTTGGTTCATCATTCGGTCAAGAGGCTAGACACTTATGGAATGAGAAACAAGGGATAAAGCTTGATGAGGTGACTGAGGCCCACATAATTCCAGGGATTTAGCCTGTTCCCATCTTATTGCCAGAAGAGAAACTATGTTGTAGAAATCCATTCCAAATCTGCGCAGCCCAGGGACTTGTTGACAAATTGCAGCTTCCATGGGTCTGTATCAATGGAAGATATGATCTGTCAGCATGACACGGACAGACAGGTCAGGCAGAGAGGTCATTCTATTGAATATATATCTGGGAAGCAGAGCTTTATATCTCATCCTTAGAGTAACCCTTCTTGATTGAATCTGCCATTGTTTGCAAGAGTATAATTCTGATCATATTGATTCCAACTTAGCTATTTATGTGCTGCTAAGCCTCAAGAAGGGAATAAAGGTGGAAGATAGGTGTAGTGAACATAATGAAAAATTAAAATTTCAGAGCTGACAGAAGCTTCCTGAGTTTGGTTCAAACTTTTAAAAACTGTGTTTGTTTGGGTGGGGTTTTGATCAGCATTTACAGAAGGGCTTGAAGCTTGCAGCACAATCAATCAGCAAGATTCCCCAAATCCATAAAAGAGGAATTAAGCCTCACGGATACGATGTGTTAGCGGCTGGAAAAGCCTTATTTTCTAAAGTGCAAGATTCTGAGTGCCCATTTCTGACAGCACATGTGAGTTGAGAAGGAAGATATACCAGTGACAACATATAACTGAATCTTGTCTAGACAAGATATACCTATTCCAACAGCATATGGGACTGTAGGCTGAACTGGGAATTTCCCATCTCTGCTTAGCTGAGGGCAGCTAGAACACAGCCCAGCTTCCTCCTGAGGGGAACCACTGGCTACAAACTTCATTATATAGCATTAGGATTCTGTTTGTGGCTTTTGCAAACCTCCCCTGGAAAATTGCAAGTTCGATTAAATGCAACGCTGACAGCCTGCAAAAGCTGTGATGGATGAGCTGCCGTCTTTATGACAGCCACTTTATGACCCACTAAGGTCAGCTCCCGCACAAAACCACCTGGGCTGGGTGGTGGGTGGGGAGGCACTGGCAATCACTGGCCCCCAGGGGCAGACATAAAAATACCTGAATACTTGTATCTGAGCTGGAAAATGCACAGAAACAGATCAATAGTCTTCCCCTGCCCTTGGACTGTCATTAGCTGGAAAATCTCCATCATGATCAGATTATTTTGTGTTCAGCTTTGTTACCTCCTTTGGTCGCGACAGCATCAGAAGGATCCCAAACTAGATTTCACTGATGGAGATTTTGCTATCAGAGTCAACAGGCTGACTCTGGGTGAGTCAGTGGGGTCTTCAGGCAGGGAAGCAATGCATTTCCATTTGTGCATTTCATCCCTGCATCCTTGAAGTAGTATGGTCTACTTCAGATGGCTTTTGCAGTTTTCCCCTCATAACTGGGACCTCCAGATTGCCATGGAGAAATCTGGGAGCTGCAGGTGGAGTGCTAAGCATTGCAAAGATTTGTCTAAATTTTTGTTTCAGAGTTCTACCCTGGTTGTCATCATATAACTCAGTTATATAATTCTGGATAATTTTATATCCAAAAACCTTGTTCTGTGAGTATTTTTTTTTTCTCTGAAGGCACATGGTCTAGATCAGAGACAGAAAGGTACACATGTTGCTCAACAAAGTGCTCATCTAAATCTCTCTGAGGGAAATAAGAGGAATTTCTGTTGGTTTTGATCATGGTTTGCATTTTTGACAATCAATAATTTATGAGAGTTGTAAGGAAAAACAGTGAATAGGGAGGGCAGCAGCATATTGAACAGCCTTGTCTGCATCAGTAAACAGTAAATAATAAAAGGAATAGGAAAAGTCATGAACTGGACTAGGAAAAGTTCTGAGTAATGTCCCAGAAAGATAGACGCCCTTCATGTCTGGTGGATTTTTTTTTTCTGTTTCTCAATAAGTCCCATTCCAGAAAAGAAGATCCAGGTGCTAAGTTGTTTATAAGCACCTGGATATCAGTTTAGAGATTGGCAGGCAATCAGGAAGAGTCCACATGCATGTTTGGGTCCATCACAGTCCATTCCATTGGCATATCAGAAAAAATAGAATAAGCTTTTGGTAGAGGTGTAAACCCAATACGTATTAGAGAAGGAAATGTGGAGATCAAAGGTATTGCCATTTTTCTCAGT